CTGTAGTTTCACATTCCTGGACTTATGGGAATATGAATCCTATCATCCGGCTTCTATGTCGTGAGATTATCACTTGTCCAAAGTACACGAAATTTCGTAAATTTTCATTTTAATGTAGTTTCCGATGCAAAAAATTCTGCGCCATTGATTTCCGTCACGTGGCTTATATTCCGTGAGATTATCATTTGTCTAATATGTAGGAAGTCTCAAAAATGCCCCATTTAATGTCATCATATATTTAAGAAATTCAGAGACTTTATGATTCGAGGTATGCATCTATGCCGTGAGATTAGCATTTGCCCAAATTGAAATAAGTCTTTGAAAGTTCCCTTTTCAAGAAGTTCAAGATTTTAGGAAATCTGCGACTTTACGTCCCGTCGTCCAGTCTATATTCCTTGAGATGAGCATTACTCGAATGTTTATGCTAAAGTTATTTCCGTCTTCATAAAGTTCCAGATTATCGAAATTCTGCAAATTTGTATATCGTCGTCCGGCTTCTATGGCGTGAAAAGATTCTTTTCAAAACTCTACGAATTCTTGTAGATTTAGATTCTTGAAATTCTTATAATCTAAGTCTAATCGTCCGGTTTCTGCCATCAGATCTTTATTTTTCAACATTATACGTATTTTCCTAATTTTTTATTAATTTGTTTCTAGAGTCGAGAAATTCTGCGAAGTCAATTCCCATCGACCGCCGTCTCTGTCTTGGGATTATCACTTGTAATTAGTATCAAAATTTCCCTTATCATGTATTGCAGGCATCCAGCAATTCTGCGAGATTTTGATCCATCGTCCGGCTTCTATGGCATGAGATTATAATTTGCCAAAAATGTACTTCGCCTCAAAACAGTCAATTTTTATCTAATTCCAGATTCTGGAATTTCTACAGATTTTAGTTCCTTCTGTCTGCCTATCATGCAAGAGATTATCATTTACCAAAAGTTTAAGAATTCTCATAAACTTTTCCATTAATGTACTTCCATATTTCAGAAAATGTGCGAATTCGATTCCCGTTTTCCATCCTCCATGGCGTGAGATTATCATTTGCTCAATGTCTACGAAGCATCCGAAAATTCTCTATTCAAGAAGTTGCTTCCTTTTTATGCTACTTAAGATTAGAGAAGTTCTGCGACTTTGGGCCCCGTCACCCTTTCTCTAATGCGTGAAAATGTCATTTGCTCATATTGTATGAAGTCTCGAAAATTAACATTTTAATGCAATTTTACATTTCATAAATTTATCGAATTAGACTCTCGTATTCCTGCTCTTTTGGCGGGAGATTATCATTTACTCAATAGGTACGATGATTCAGAAAGTTCATTTTCCATTTTCCTAAAGATTTGAGAAACTATCCTTCTTTGAGCCGTGTCAATTTCCCTCAATGTTGTGAGATTTTGTTTACCCTAAATTCTACAATTTATCAAAAATCTTACTTGTCATCTTGCTTCAGATTCGAGAATTTCTACGACTTTATTCGCTTTGACCGTTTTATCTGCTATGACATTATCTTTGGCACATATTTTACTATTCCAAAAAATTCTCTTTTCCCATCTGGCTCCAGATTCAGGAAATTCTGCGACACTGCTTCCCGTCGACCGTCTTTTCTTGCGTTATATTTTCTTCGGCCCAAAGTCTACGAAGTCTCGATTAATTCTCTTTTCTTTTAACATTATATTTTTAAATTCTCTTACTTCACTTTGCTTCTACCAGCCTCTTAAACGTGATCTTATTTTCGGTCCAACCTCTACGATGTCTTAACAAGCTTGCTTTTAGTTTCTATATTTATACCACATCGAGTCCTGTCGTCGGTCTCTCTTGAGTTAACTTTTCTTCGGCTTAATTTATAAAAAGTCTTATTAATCTCGCTTTTTATCTATCTCCAGTTTCGCAAACTTCTGTCACTTTTGAGTCAACAAAATCTCCCATTCTATGTCAATTTACATCCCTCAATGCCCATGAGCTCGAGTTCCGTCAACCACTTCGTCTGGTGTGATTTTTTCTCGGCCTATAATCTAGTGTGAGAATACCGACTTGATGGTGAAAAGTTTTATTTATGCTTCATATTTTTGTTGTTCTTTTAGAAAAAAATATTTCTGTCTGACTGCTATGTCGTGTTGAGTGTGTTTGTTGGAGTATGCTTCCGATGGTCGACAGCCAAGAGGCTTTCAGCTTCGCAACCTTGTTGCTGTGTCAATTAAACGCCCCATAAGTCGCGCTTTCGGAAGCTTCCCATGTGAGGGATGTAGAGCTCAGGACCTCGTTTGTCTATCGAGCCGAAGGGATAAAGCAGGGCAATCGGTTCATTCTGTAGACTCGGGTTCAATTCACGAGGTAGAGCCGCGACTGCAATCCGTTGCCCTGGCAACACTACACTCAGCCAAACCAAGCTGGTCAACACAAGAAGGGCAGCCAGCCGGGTGAATGGCGAAGAAGAAGAGGGACCGGTTGGAGACTGCTTCATTTCTGAAAAAAAAGATTCCGAAAAAATAATTGGAGTATAATTCAGTTAATCTAATTTTAATTACCGTAAAATACCTTCGCAAATCCCTTCATCCATTAAGTAGGCTAACATCTTGCACTATTACGTATCCAATTCACGAGGCTGGGGTACATTTGATAAAAATATATATTATATAATATATATAATCTATTTTATAAGCCATTCTTACGGAATTAAAATAAAAAAATGCCGACTCCAATCAAGTTTCACTCTTAATCATAAAGACATATAATACAGTTGTGCTATCAATCTTATCCAATTCAAAGATTTACAATCATTACATTTTACTGTTATTTTCAAAAAAAGCGTAAATTTTATCTCTTGAACCTACCAAACTAAACATATGACAGCACTATTTGTTAGTTGAAACGCAAATGTTTAGCTTACAAAGATGGCAGATTTACATTATACTACTTATTAATTGTTCGAGAAAATAAAATATTACTCGATATAACGATGATGATGTAGGCACTTTATTGAGGCGAAATCATGCTCAAGTAATACAATACAAAACAATACTTCCCAAAGTACAAACACTACTTAGCTAATAAAAAAATAGGTATTAATGCAAACTCGACACATTAAAACAGAATTCTAATTGGATAAACCTCAGTTTTCCAAAAATCCACTTAAAAATATCATTAACATAAAATAGCAACAAAAAACATGTCGAAATTTCAGTCAGGTATGTGCAAGAAAGATCTTTTGTGAAAATCTCTTTACTTTGTCAGGAGCTGATACAATGTCGATCCTACAGCAAGAAACTAATCAAAACGAGGGCAACACCCTCTTCGACAAATTATCTAAATAAAATTGTCGGCAGATCAGCGTACATCACATACCTTCGGATTTATTGAATATCGCCTTAATTTCCTCTCATTTTTCCTATCCAGCCATAGGGCCTTAATAGAGGGGCTAGAATCTACAGCTAAAATGGATGTTACTACTATCGTCAGAATAAGAAGTAAGCCTTGAATAAGAAGTTGAACCAGCCCAAAATTATTATGATTTCAGAATAAGTAGTTGATTTTAAAATTTAACAGCAACAATTTAGTAGTCGGTCTCTTGTACCTGCCATATTATTAACGATGCCATTAAATTTTACTTAACCTTGCCTAAGAAAATACTTTCATTCTATAACTGGGCCCCATCCTCACGCCCATCGGGATTCGAACCCTGAACATGGAATTTAAGTTAGTTATATGATAAAGACGACTAGCAAAGCTTTTTTACTTTTGATTACTTACAAAAAATGGAAGATCATGGTAAGGCAAAAGGTTGCGTTAAAGGGATTGACTTTTTTGTGGTCTCCAACCAAAAGTGCAACCAGGCTACTTGCAAGAACCTGAAGGGTCAGTTGAAGGTGATGACAACTTCAAAAGTTATTCTAACATGAGCAAATACTTTTAGCAGAATGAAATTTAATGTTTTTCCTTAGGCACCGTCAATTTGAGATGATTTATGTATTATTAAAAATATATAGATAAATATCCAGCTGCCATAAATATTGACATTCTTATTCTTAAAATTAGCCTCGGGAGAGACAGAATATCGCTTAGTAGATGGAGAGTGAATCTTGTATGGCGGGCTATGGAATAGCAAAGCTACAAACGATAAATTCAGTAGTAAATTAAGACTGATGGTAAAGTATGAGGTACAAAGTCGCCACAAAATGATGTGCAATCCATGAAAACTAGTTTGGTCTGGATCAGAGGTCGATGTGGCGGACTCTTAACTAGCTTGTTCGTTATCCAAATCTCGCCGGGGCTTCGGAAGAGATGGTGAGACCATGAGACCAAATGAAAATAGGACTTCCACTCTTCATTTAATTTCCCATTTCAAAGCATAATTGTTTATCTTTTCTATCTATCAGCCTCACTGCTTGTAGCATTTTGAGCGCGGAATAAACTCTGCTATCCTCAAATAATTTCAGTTGGGAATTGTATGAAATATTGATGTGCCTATGTAAATATGACTCCCAGATAACTTTAAAATAAATAAAACTACTAACTCAAATATCAGTAGTATGTCTATATAAATAGAAAAAGGATAAAATATTGCTTATCAATAAAAAATTCCTTGCAAATGGATGCAAGCTCAGGAAATTAATTTCCAAAGTGCATTCTTTAATGTGACTCAGATGGGGCTGGCTTGTCTTTAGTTAAGAGAACATATAATATGTATAGAAGAGATGGATAACCTTTTTGAATGTGCATTAATGCACTTAAAAACATAGACACAGACACATGAAGTTAAATAAAAATACCCTGATTCATATGATAAAGCAGCAAACAAATATTATACATCTCTCTGTATTTTCGAATTTAGATATTCATAGATAAATACTATATATGCATATACAAATATATATATTTATGGAATTAATATTATGTATATAGTTTCATTTTTGGTTAGAATAGTATTCTTGAATTGATGATAACTAGAAATTTTAGAAATAATGTGTTCCAGGTCTTAAACTGTCCGTCCATTGGCATGACGGAAGGAAGGTAAACCTGTTTTCACGCGAAACGAGAAAGATTGTCGCATGAATTCTGTAAACCTGAACCTCATAGCAAAGTCAGACGACGGCTGCAGAATAACCGAAAGTAGCAGTCATCTTCTGGTGAGATCGTCCTAACAACCTCTTCATCTGACACACT